TCATTTGTAATATTCTTCTTTTTTGCTGGTTTCAAAAGGTCAAACACCATCCTTAGAAGCAATACAAGCGATACGACTTGTTATCACAAATGTCATGCATACCTACATGCCGATGCTTAGTAGCTGTGTTGTCAGGGCAGAGAGCTGCCATTCTTTACACCTCTGTGATGCCTCTCCTTGCAGCATCTTGTTATCTATCCAGCAGCTTAATACACCTCCTAAAACTTTTCTTTCTTCTCAGATTTACATGTTCAAAAAGTTTAATTGGGAAAAAATGACTGGACATTTGGCAAAGACAGTTTTGGCTCCTCTTTCCCTCTCCACTGAGCGTCATCTGCTCCTCTGCCCTCTCACTGTTTGTCTGCGAGCAAAACACATTCTTGAAATATCCACAAAAGCCAGCGGATGGATGATTGTTTTTTAGGAGGTGGAGGACGACATATTGCTTCACTTGTTATTGTCTATATTCTACATGCTATTATTATTGTTCATAGGACTGATTGTTTCAGCTTGGCAGGTGGAGGGAAGCTCGCACACTCGCTGTGTGTTTCCCAGCTGCTCGATTCCTAACAGCACATGGCACATTTCACAGAAGCAGTATTTCACACGGTGGAGGTAACTGAGCCAATTATATAATGACACTGAAAAGTGTTTACACACGACGTCAAAAAGATAATAGGCTTTGGGTGTAGTTATTTTATTACCTCTGCAAAGGAGAAGGAGGTAGTGTTTTTGGATGCATTTTTTTTTGTCTGTTTGGCTTATGCAAAAATGAATGGGCAGATATCATTAAACTTTGTAGAAGGATGCAGTGTGGGTCAAACCAGAATCCATTCAATTTTGGTGCGGATCCAGATCAACGGAAGGATCCAGGAATTTTTTCACTTTCTTCAACATTGCCAGATGAGAGGGGTTTTTTCAATAATATCATTGAGAATAATTCATGGTCTTGATAGGGGGACTGATATTTATAAGTGTGTACACTTTTGTGCAGATCAAAGTAAAAATCCTGATCTAGTGAATTTAAATGAGGTATCATACTGTTGTATGGACTCTACTGAGTGACCTTCTAGTTTTATCTATGATTTAATTCTTCATTTCAGAGTATCACCCTGCTACTGGAATACAGTAATTTAGATTCTTAAGAATAAATTTGAATAAAAACATCAACAACAATGCAACCTGGCAAGTTCTCTCGGTTAAATTTAGCTCAAGAGGAGTTTCTGTGAGCAAGGATCAGAGCAGTTAAGTTGATGAAGCTGCTCCCCATGCATCTTCTTGATTGTATTCATCCAAATCCAGATATCCCCGCTTATCTAACATCTCACAGTCAGGGGGCAGTCCACTCCTCCAGCACTCTGCATCGCTGCTCTGCCATTGATTCTCCATTATATGTCCAGTTATGTTCTGCAGTAATCAAATAAAATCTTGGGGCTGAAGCAAAGAGGAGCTAACAGAAACTTATATGTGTCCTGAAGAGTCCTGATGACAGAAAGTGTGATGTCATGGTGAGATGTGTTGAAAATGAGATTCTGTAAGAATTGTTATCATATTTAACTGCATCAACATACCGACAGAATTGACTTATCAAACAATTGTGACGCATTTGCAGGAGATTTGCGACGTTAATTGATCTGCCTGCTATCTGCCACCAGTATTATAATTGCTACTTTGCTCACTGGAACCAGTGTGGCAAGTTCACCACAGCTACTTAGACATTCAGATGTATTAGCTCTACATATTTACCATACCAGACAGCCCACGTCTGCTCTGCAACCACATATTTTTCCTTGCCAGAGCTGCTTGGCTACGGAGCGGCTATTTGACTTCCAAAGGGGCTGACACCCTTGGCAATATCCCAGAAACCGTGGAGGAGATATGCAGTGAGAGCCAGTGTTTAATCTGTACTCATGTGTGTTTGTTTGAAGGGTGGTAGAGTTTCTGACAAGGGCGTGTGGACAAGTGGGAAGAGAGTTGTTTAGGTAAGAGACTGCTGGAAAAGAAGAGCAAAGGAAGTAAGGTTTAGGTATATGGCACCTTTTGAAGAACAGAAGTCTCAAAGTACTTCACAAGTAGAAAGATAAAGTGAATGAAAATTAAGTGAAAATGACCAAGTCTGAGTTTGGACAAATACCTACAGAAAGAGCTTTAGCGAGTTTGCCGAGAAACTTTTGATGTGTAAAAGACTTTCTTTTTTTTTTTTTTACAAAGCAGATTTGTGAATCCAAGAAATTTTCCTAAAGGGGATTATTCTTATTTCCACAAAATTTCCCTTAGTGTTGTGCAGACACAGTGTCGTATCAGGTCTCTGCATGACCTTGCTTGACTTTCACACAGAAAGTCACAGAAACAAACAAACCCTCAACTCCACTCTCTCCTCACAGGCCTAAGTGTTTTTAATCAACTTAACTTTCAAGAAAACACACTGTCCACAGTGTCATTTTACTGATTTGATTTTCATCCAGACCACAGAACAGCCATTATCTTCCAAAGGCAGTGATGCATTTTTATTTCCTTATCTGCATTTGTTCGTTTGTTTGTTGGCAGCATTAAACTAAATTTTGTGGAGGGGTGGAGCCTAACACAAGGGATAACTTAATATGGATGGATACAGATAAATTGACGGATTCAGGAATGAGATAGTTTCTTTGTTGGTTTATTTGTAAGCAGGATCACACAAATATACTTCCTAACCGATTTCAACCAAACTTGGTGCCGGGATAGAGCCTGGACCTGGGAGGAATCCATTACATTTTGGTGCAGATATGGATTTTTTTCACTTTGGTTAACTGTGTTTTATGATAAATTAATAATTTAGTTTATCAGACCACTTATTTTCTTTTATATCTACAAAATGATCAAGTGTAGGATTGTTTGGCCATTGCAGAAGTATGTGCTCTACTGTGTGCCATTCGAGTTGCATATTATTTAGAACACAGTAAAGTAATGGTGACTTAAAACTCACAGTGCACAGTTCATGCGCTCACTTGTTTTCATGTGAAACTCTTGTAAGCCAGCGGTGTTTGCTGTGGGAGGGATGTCCGACAGCAGTGAGACCTCGATGATTAGGACGATCTATTCATCCATTTTCATCCATGTGTCCGTCCATCTGTCTACCTCCCTTTGTTGAGAGGTGAACAGTAACAACAACAGACCTGCTGTTGTCCACTGCAGCAGCGGGCCTCCCGTGGATTGTTCTGGAAGCAGTCTGTTGGAGCGCCAGCTGGGTTGTGCGGTCAGGTGAGGGGAGAGAGAGAAAGAGAGAGAGAGGTGGAAGGGGGGGTCCAAACACTAGTGAGACCCAGGCCATGCAGGGCTGAGACAGACAGTCTGCCTGCAGGCTTGTTAACATTCCTCAGGTTCACAGCTCACATTCGATGGCTCAGGTGCACCAACACCTCATTACTCAGAGTCAGTGCTAATGACACGGCCCATGGTCGCTAAAAGGATTTTGTTTTGTGAACAGCATTCCAGGTGACTTTTGACTCGTTGTCTTGGTTACCATTGCGACGGACTGGCGTTTCATCCAGAATGAGTTGACAAGTTTGAGTTGTGAGGGAAACACAGATTACAGAATGGAGGATAGGCATGCTTTAAATAAGTATAGAAAACAAATAGATTGTGTGATTGTGCTTTGTTTGGTATCGTCTCTGTGTTTTTAGTAACAGAAGAGCCTGTGCCCAGATAAGGAGCCACTACTCTGAAGATAAGAGCTGTCTGTTACGTACTTTTAATATCTGAATCAGTGAGTGTGTGTGAACATGTGTTCATCCCATTCTATATTTAGTGCTTTTTTTGATAAGTGATACAACCTACAGCATAGGAACGTCATGTTATTACTGTGGACAGTTGATAAGATGTTGAGACGTCACAATCGCAGTTCTGATTCGAGGTGGATTTATTAGCTGGCCACGGAACAGGTGAACTGAGGACATGGCACCGCGAGCGCTCATGAAGCAGAAAGATATTGTGTAATATCGCGGCTCTGAGGGCTGCAGGTGCATTCATATGCAGGTGGTATGGTGACTGCAGGCTCACCACAGCTTATCAGATGAAATCCCAAATTTGCCAGTGTTTCTGTGATTCTGCACCTCACTTCCACCTCAGAGTCTCTGTTTTTCCTGCAGAAGACAAACACTGAGAAACAGTTATGTCACAGTTTCATTTACTGAATTAAGGAGGGAGGGAGAAGAGAAAGAAAAGTGTGGTGCAGTAACATTTATGAAGACCATATGAGTTATATAACTGATTTTTATTGGGTGTGTAAACACATTGCTTTCTTGTAACACGGCATATATCCAAGTGACACACTCCGCAACTCTGCTACTGGAGCAGTGGCGGATCTAGGATTTTAAACCAGGGGGCCTTGATGCGCCACAATTTACAAAGATTATATCTACAACAGAAATTCACAATTCATGATATAATAAAATGCACATTTAGGTCTTTTTACTGTTAGCTCTTTAGCTTTTGAGCAAAGCCACACATCATTGATTACATTTTGAAAAATTACTTCTTGTTCAAACAACAACTCTTAACATTATTAACCTCAGTGATTAGGTTTCTTTTAAAGACTACTGACAGGACATGGGCTCTTCAGGGGCCAATCAGACTTTAGCTGGGGCCAGTGCCCCCTGGATCTGCCCCTGTCCTGTAATGGAAATATTGAAACAAATAAACACAGGATATTGACTGACAAAGTGGTATTGTTTCTGCAAAACAAGGCTGTAATAAGAGTAGGTTGGATTGTTATTGTACACACATAACACGTCATGAGTGGCTGTCTAAGCGGGAGTGAGAGTTTAGAAGTTGACTCCTGTCATTAACACGAGAGCAACGGCCTCAAACTGAAAGCGCATCGCCGTTGATTAAAGAATCTTTGCTGGTGGCCATGCTCCGTCTCTTCCTCAACTTGTTGCATCTTAATTTTAAAGCGGCTTCACTTTGTGTCGTTTGTTTTTCTTTGTGTAACTCGTTGTGCATCTCCTCTTCTGCTAAAGGCTCCAGACCTCCTGATGATCACTCAACCTGACAATCCAGAGATGTCGCCCTGATTCCTGTTTGTCAGACACAGCTTTTCTTTAAGCAAGGTAAGTTTATGATCTTGACTTCTTTTAATTCAAGTTACATGTATAAACAATTGTATTACTGAGCTTTATTTCTTTTTAATTTCTGTCTCCGTCAGATGTCAACCACAACAGAAAATGGGATGGGAGGGCCCTGGAACACAAGCAGGGAGAAAACGTATAAGAAGGTAAAAAATTATATAAGAGCCTCCCTGTGTTTGTTTTTTATTTTACTCCTATGATGAACGTGAACTTGCTCCAATAACGTTTATTTTGAATGCCGCTGTTTGGAGCTAACAAGTCCACAAGACCTTTGCTTGTCACATGAGCCCTTATAAATGTCCTTGTGCAGCACATAATGTCCTGACTCCTGCCAGGGCCCGCTGCCAGAAATCACTCAAGTGTTGGTCACACATGTTTTTTTTTCCTTTTTTTTTTTAACCTTAGACGTCACTGCTTATGGCAGCATTTCTCAAGATGTCACAATTACATGGCTTCTCACAGCAGCAATCACTGTTCAGGTTGGGACCTAAAACTGGTGAAAGGTCTTTTTGTTGTGGAAGCAATAAGAGTATGTTTGAGTTCCAAGCTCTTAAAGCTCTTTTCAGTGTGTTATTGAAATTTCAATATATTCAAATTAAGAACTAGAATGGCAGTTGCTTAAAGGGCCACCTAATCCCCTTGCAAAACCACATTTAATTTCACAAGATCCAGATCTGCACAAAATTGCAAACACTCATAAATTTCAGTCCTGTAATCATGCCTGATTTTTTTCATCAAGATCTAAGAATTATTCCCTGAGAAACGAAAGTGAAAGTGAAAAAAGTTTCATGGATCTGGCCCCTGATCTGGATCAACACCAAAATGTAATGCGTTTGTTCCTGATCCACCTTATCCTTCCATCGAGTTTCATGCTAACACTTCAAGTAGTGTAATGCCGCTGCTTGTGTAATCTCAGAGCCCATCGGCCATCGTTTGATGATGAATTAGCTTCTGGGGGTTTGGGGGAAATATGTGGCTTTGGGTGTTACATTTGCCATACACTGTTTACGGTCCAACAAGTCACACATTGAATGTCACTTCACACAAAACACAAACAGCAATAGGTGTTTTAGGTCCGGCAAGATTGTTGCTAAGGTCTATTAACACTTATCTGCATATGAACGCAGATAAATTAAAAAGCCGATAGCAGAAGCATTTACTCTCTACCCTGACTACACCAAGCCTACTCAAATGTGATCAGTCAAACTAGAAACAGTAACCAGAAGGCTTCCGGCCACAAGTTTGTTCACAGGCAGAATATTTTTATAGAGATTACAATGCTGCTAACTAATAGACAAATAAATGCAGATGAAAACATAACCTTGTTGGCAGAGGAGATAACACAAACTGCATGGTAACCATTCAACATTTATGTCTAGTAGGGACTGTGATAGAGCTAACAGTGTCAGTGCACTACTACAGCCCAGCTGACGTGATGTTTTCCTTTCTTTCCCCCTCTAGACCACGTCATCGGCCTTGAAGGGGTCCATTCAGCTGGGTATTGGCTACACAGTGGGCAACCTCACCTCCAAGCCTGACAGAGACGTGCTTATGCAAGACTTCTATGTGGTGGAGAGTGTCTTTCTGCCGAGGTCAGTGCTAGTGTCAACCGGCTCAAACACACATTTACACTGACGCAGCCAGCTTCTATACACAACCCAATATTTTCTATGCATCTTTGTGTAGCGATGGTTTGCACCCAATCACAGAACTCAAGGTTAATCGAGCCAGTGAATTAGAGAAAGAGATAATGCGAAGGTGGTAACTGGCTGCACTTTCGATACAATAGTTTCCTGACTCTGCGGAATCAATGAGTGGAAAGGGGCTCATGGTTAATCTCTGCCTGTCTACCACATCACATATTCTACGTGTGGGTCTCGTATTTAAAACATGTAAATCTATTATTAATCTTGCTGAATGGAAACTGCAGGTGGGGGCGCTGGACGTCCAGCCCAAAGAAAAGCCCCCTGCTGCCACAAAGTGCCACCATCATCATTTATCAACAAAGTGAGTTTCGCTCGTCTAAGTCATGATGCAGGAATAAAACTATTCTGGTGGATTATCCTGCCAAGAACTGTGAAATCAGCTTATACTGTTTGCCTCTTACTGCCACAGTGCCAAACATATTTCAGTGCAGGGCCGCGCCGTCATCTCGGCCAGTCTTCACAATTACATCATCAGCTTTAGAAAACATTTTACATAATCCACAAGCAAACCAGGGATTCTTTAAAAGTGTGACTCACACATCCACACATCCAGTAAAATATAGCACAGAGTTCCCACATCTATTTTTACTAAAATGAATAACTGTAGGAACACACTGAGTCTCTCAATAGCTGGTGCCGTTGGTCAATGTGTATTTTCTATATTAACCCTCTACTGATTACTTTCTATCTTAATTTGACAAAGAAAGCAATAACAAAGAACCCATGTTTTAGTGCTAGGTTTCATAAATAAAGTTTTTACTTTATAGAATAATTAGACATCTCACCACATGACCAGGAAATCCTGTGTGCATGTGAACAAGGGAAACTGAAGATGTCATGGCCGCAGGGCTCTCAAAACTGACCAGTTGTTCAATAATAAGGCAGAGTTCTTTTAAACCAGTTTACATGTGATAAGTGACATAAACTGTAACTATACATGTGACAAAAACCAATTTGTTTATACTACCATACGTTCCATATAAGAATTAGAAATGATACATAAACTTTAGTACCAGATTCGTTTTTTCATGTTTTCAGGATGTTTTGGGATTTAAGGTTTTTAACAATATTTCCATTATTTTAGCAGATAAAAGTAATAAAAGAACATCAAAACATATTTTGCATGTTTCATTTATAATTCAAACTATAGAGAGTGGGTGATATGCTTAATAGCTGTGAATGTTTCTGTGTCCATTTTATATCTTGAAAAACATGAAAAATAAAAAAGGAAATTAGTGACAATCCAGCTAAAGGCGTTCACTTCACAAATACACGCCATCATCTGAAATTAGTTTTTAATTTTGAATCCTCAGGAAGAGAATTAGAGTCCTACCAGGAAATACTTTGTGGTTTACCTTTGATAGGCGGCAGCAGGATATGTAAACTAAGTATGGTTTATTCAAAGCGAGCACTGGCACGCACACTGACCTTTTACCGTCATGCTCCTTGGCAACAGCCAAACATCACTCCAGGGTCTGATGTCGACTGATGAGTAATAACAACCTGATGTAGCCTGTTGGTCCACTGAAGAGCAAACAGAGACCCGTTCTTCAACTTAAGTTTGTTACATTATCTTTAATCTGCCCTCAATGTCAAGAGCTCTCACACAATGGAGAAATTAAATGAAATAAAAACAGTCGAGGCAACAAATTGCACAAGACGTAAAAAATAAAACATAAACAGAGAGAGAGAAAAACCGATGTCTTCCTGACGTCTGTATGTGACATAACCGTTCCCTCTTTATTCTTCACTTTCTCGGAGCATTTTGTTCTGTAACGGTACACAAACACACAAACACACAAACACACAAACACCCAAACACACAAACACAAACCGCTCTGTGTCTTTTCGCTGTCAGAGGATCCTCAGAGAGCGGCTGAGTGATGAAGCTGACTCTCAGATGCTTTTATTGTGTTTCACTAGTCTTCTCCCCCTCTTGCTCCTCTTGTTGCTGCTCCTCTCTGGAGGTTTCTCTGCTGTTGTTTGTCCCGTCAGTCTAGTTTTGTGTGGCAAAACTAGACACACCACACACATACACACATAGAGACAGTTTTTAGTTTCTCCATGCATGTATCTCTGACAACGGGCGCACATCTTTCCTCAAGCGGCTGAACATAGACGGCTCCCTGATTACACTGAATGAGTGTGTTGTTAAATGGTTTCCATGCGAGGCGTACCTAACCATCACTGACTGTCAGTCATTGAGGACACACTATTGTTATTGCCCTCACACTTTAAACCGAGCAGTCAGATTTCATTGTAGAGTAATCACAGGTGTAGTGTTACACATCAGGGCCTGGCTGTTGAGTATAGCACCGACACGTAACAACAACACAGCGGCCTCTTTACCCAGAAAACCATCCAAGTTCCTGGAATTTAAACCAGATTTAGAGGTGCCCTGGAAAACAAAACCTTTTTTGCAGCTTTAGGGTCAGTGAGATTCCAATAGAGTTTAAAAAAAGAGTTTAATTGATGACAAAACTCAACGCCTGACTCACTCTAACCTTATCAGACACGCTTATTGCAAAGCTGTTGTGTTCCCCCCTGCGACACAGGTTAGGCTGGTTGCACAACAGGGTCAGTCTTTGTCAAAGTGAGATTCTCCTGCGGTCCAAAAAATCATGTAGGTCGTTTTTTTCGGAGTTGTTTTTCTTCTTTTTTTTACATTCACTTATGCAATTCCCTTTCATGCCTGTGGAGTAAAGGCTCATGTGTTGGTTGGTGTTGTTAAGACCCAGTAATCAAAGCCTGCTTCAGTCTCCAGGCGAAGAACTCTATACAGGCCAGTTTGTCACTACAATGCAGGAGAATCTGGGCCTCCCATTGATGACTTCACTGGAGCACATTACAAGGGCTCACTGATACTCTCACCACGAATCAGTCACACAAAGATTAAGTGTTAAGGTTCAGGTTCCCCGTAATGTTGCCTCTTGCCTCTATGGAATCATTGCTTGGAGAATGACACTGACACGTTTCATTTATGTAATGTAAAAAGTCTAGTTGAAATACTAATTGAATACTAGTTGAAATACAACTAATGTCTATGTCTTTGTGTCTCCTGATGGGGCTTGGTTATTTATTGCACGTACCAGCGAGGGAAGCAACTTGACCCCAGCGCATCACTATCCTGACTTCCGCTTCAAGACCTACGCCCCGCTGGCCTTCCGCTACTTCAGGGACCTATTTGGCATCAAACCAGATGACTACCTGGTAAGACTCAGGTCTTGTCTACACTACTGCAAATATTTTTGTCCCCCGTTTTTTAAAACCCCCCGAATTAAACCTGAATCATGAACCTGAATAAGAGCGGGATAATTGTCCTTTGACATCATATAAAACATCTTCGGTTGAAGTATTGTGTTTCTTTCTGTTTATGAACAAGCACAGAAATAGAAAAATGGTCACCGGTGTCATGGAGAAGGTGCAGTGGCCTGTTGGTGGTCTTAGTCTTGAATTACTTCCCACTGAGGGAACACTAAACCCTCCACCTTAATGCATACTTAGTGGACACAATCCAATGCTTTTTATTGAGCAGTAGGTGGGTAATGCCACGCGCCATCTGTGCGGGGGAAAGACAGGATGGGGGGGTGAGATAAAGGCACAGCACTGAGGCGGTGGCGACATTGGATGTGATAACTGAGCTGATGGAGCATATTCTCATAGGACGGCTCTAACCAGCTCCCACTGGTGACGGAAACCAGCAGACGATTCAGTGATTTCCCAGCAGAGTCAAAGACAAACACACACACAGAGAATTGGATACAGGACGGATGAGAGAGGAATGTGTTTGTCTGACAGACATTTTCAACTGGAGCATTGCTTGTTTGCATATTTGTAAATGTGAAAATAGACTGAAGCCTTGAATGTTGAATATATCGCAAAGCATTCAAAAGCCTTTATTGACATGCTCGACATGCTGTCCTTTATGTTAATTTAATTTGCTGCTCAGTTTACCTTGTTGCCATATTCATCCCTACACATCTTGCTCGCTACAGGAATTAGATTATACGTAATCTTGTTTGGTATCTTTATAACAGCATGAGGCCGCTTTCCTATTTTCCATCTGCCTCCGAGCCTTTCAACAACCCCAGCAGCGGCATTTTTTTTAAATGCCAAATTTCTTTCTGCATTAGTGAGAGACAAAAGGCTCTGGTGGAGGGACAGAGACTAAATGTAACCTGAAAGCAGCAGGGGGAGGGTGGCGTACAAGGCACTGCTCATGACTGATGTCCTTCAGGTGGCGATGCATTCATTCATACAGAGGCCACACAGCGCGGCCTAATTAAAAGCGAGAACACACACAGCCTCCTGAATGCAAATGTAATAAACTACGGATGTGCTTGTGCTGGTACACTAATGTGAGTGCAGACGGTCATCAGTGGATGAGTCTCTGAGGAGGGAGAGCGGATGCCTCCAGTGTTGCTGCTCTTCTCTGAACATGTTGCTTTCGTAACGTGCTGATCTAGAAGTGCTCTGCAGTTTGCTGCTCTCACAGGCTCTGACCTCACACGTTGACTGCCGCGTGGCAATGAAGACTCTCAAGCTGTTCCGGGGCTGTTTGATATGCAGCATAAGCAACAATCGCTTATGTTACTCTCATGTATTATGGAGCAGAACAGGAATTACTACAATCAATGGGGATGTGATTCCCTAACAATAAACCAAATGTTACCTGCTTCCATTTATATATGGAATATATATGATAGTAATATGTTACATGGCCAAAAATATGTGGATAACCATGTATTTCAATTAGTTCTTCATTACAAGTACCCCCTATGCAAAATATGGTCCATAAAAATGGTTTTCTCATTTTGGTAGAGCCTGAAGGGCCTGTTCAAACTGCTTAACACCCCAGGAGGAACTGGAACAGCAAACATGAGCCGGGCCTTATTACCAAACATCAGTGCCTGACCTCATTATTGCTGCTCTGGATGAACTGAAACAAATCCTTTCAGCCAGGTTAGAAAACTCTGTGGAAAGTCTCAACCAGGTCTGCAGTAATCAACTAGATCAAATACTAGGAGTCGGCATTTGTTGACCCCAATGTTTCTCCCACTGATACTGTTGCATATTTAGTGTTTAAATATTAATTAAGCTTTACTTAAGCACACAAATCACTTCAAGAATGTATAGCCTATAAGCAAAGATCTGGAATATGTTTCTATTTACAAATTTGTGATAAATTAAATTGATAAATGAAGCGTTTAGGCCTCAGTGTGAGTCTGAGCTACCTGAGCTTTCCACCCTTCTCCTTGCTGCTTGTCCAGACCTGACCTTCACAGAGAAATGGAGGCGATTACCAGAGCATCAATGTTTTTGGAGTACAATTGAGGCTACAACTTAAGATGATGTTTTTGTATCACTGCAGTCAGTGCATATTTACCACTACCATTGTATTAATCAATAACCATCTGTTTTCTGTTTTGTGAGTCTCATAAACAGCTTTGTGTATGTTTTTTTCCTTCCTCAGTACTCCATGGTAAATGAACCTCTCATCGAGCTGGCCAACCCCGGGGCCAGCGGCTCGCTCTTCTACCTAACCAGCGATGACGAGTTCATCATTAAGACCGTCCAGCACAAAGAGGCCAAGTTTCTGCAGAGATTACTACCTGGATACTACATGGTGAGACATTTGAAACACTCATGAACGGCCTGAAACCCTCAGATCCCTTCATCAGATGCATTAGTGGCATTCATGAGATGCAGTGAACATTCTCATTAGCTCTCACTGTGAGGCACCATCAGACTAAAGAGGGGTTCAGTCAAGAGGATGCTGCAAACACATGAAAGCTTTGCTATTCTGTTTAAGAGGTAACAGGTCGATGCAATATAATACTTAAACAATTTCCTTGGGGCGGCATGGTGGTTCTGTGGTTCCTCACAGAGGTAAGGTTCTCGGCTTCCTCCCACAGGGTTAGGTTCATTTGTGATGCTAAATCTATACCGTATGATTTCTATGACATCTGTATTCATCACTTTATAATCTGCATCTTTATTATTATTATTTTTACTCTTATTGTTTGTGAATTTGATATTGTTCATTTTAAAGCACTTTGTTACTTGTATTGAAAAGTTATAATTATAATGATAATATTTTTTTGTTAAATTGACCCTCTGTATCCCTCACAAGGATAAGCGATGGATTGACTATTTAAAAATTGCACCAAAAGTTCTTACTGATACTTTTCTCTTCAAATTCACAGAACTTGAACCAGAATCCACGCACACTACTGCCTAAGTTTTACGGCCTGTACTGTATCCAGTCTGGAGGCATCAACATCCGACTGGTGGTGATGAACAACGTGCTGCCTCGCTCTGTCAAGATGCACTACAAATACGACCTGAAGGGATCCACGTACAAGCGTCGAGCATCCAGGAAAGAGAGGGAGAAGGCCTGTCCCACTCACAAAGACCTGGACTTTCAGGACATGCACGAGGAAGGGCTGTACTTTGATGCTGAGACGTACAACAACCTAATGAAGACGCTGCAGAGAGACTGTCGGGTAGGTGGTTTGTGGCAGTGTGTTTTACGGGATTTTGTGTGTGCATGCTCATTCTTGTCTCTTCGGTCACCACAGGAAGACAAACTCACAACAAACATGGAAAATAATTATGAGTTTACTTTCTTTAAAAATGCAATATTGAATTTTCACGCCTTCATTACTCTCTGCATTGTAACCTGCAGCCAAGTGACATCAAGTCACATGCTCTGTCAGAGCGTGAATCCTTTTAAATCTGTAAATTCACATAAGTGAAGAGACATAGCTGTTGGTGGGATTCTATTGACCTCTAATTCTCATAATCGATTATGGAAGCTTCAACACATGCAACAGTGTAATTCAACCACCACACTGTGTGCTAGTTCAGGATAGGGGAGTGTGTCTTAATGGGACAAAATGTTTTGATAAGACAGTTTCCGTGTGTTTGCCAGTCAGACCGCAGCCTGTTTCCACTGTGTGTTCAGTAAGCTCTCAGTTTGCCCCGGGCACTGTTCTCCATTCTCTGCCCTGTAATGTTTCAGTATGACAGCTCTCCAAACACTGAATATGATTAAGAAAAGATCCTGGTAGCGTGAGAGACTCAGAGCCTGATCCAAAGATAGTCCTGCAGTCCAAAGGTGCACATTCTTCTCTATCTCGACCGTGCACCGGAGGAGGATAGTTAGAGTTTAATCAGAGGCATGATATGCTCTGTTGATCATCCATCGGGCCTAAACTCAAAATCGCTTTTCTGTAATATTTTGTAAATCTACGTAAGCATCAGACGTCTTGTCGCTTGACATTACCTCTTTTACATAAATAGTTGGTCACAAGTGCAATGAATCCTGGGATAGGGAAAGGATTAAAGTTGCTGCCACAGTGCTCAGTTTGCTCTCCAGTGGCTGGGAAGTGAAAGATCCCCGTCCAGAAAAGGTTAAATTTATTGTTTGATCAATTATTAAACCTTTTTCTGCCAAATGCGTTTTTTTCTTGGGGAAAAAATCTGAGATAGAAAGACACAGTCCTTGTGAAACTACAGTTAATCATTTAGCTTGTAAAGTCAGGATTATAAAGCTGTTTCTAATGTGCAGTGACATTCCCACTGTGTTCTAAGGACAAGGTGAACGGCCTCTTGGCATATCTTAATGTGTGATGACAAACTTCCATCCAGTGATTTAAAGAGTTTTGTCCTGCTGGCAGGCTAATGATGGGGTTTAGAGCTCAAAGCCTTCTGTGTTTTAATCCCATTTGTTCTGCTTGACATAGAGCATAGTAGCTGCACATGCACACATGGAGCACGTACACACTACTCCTTCACCCTGGAACCACTCCTGTGTGTGTTACTGTGGATTGATGTATTAGATGAGGCCAACCTGCCAGACCTGGCAGCCCCGTGCGGCTCCATTGAGCAATTTAATGACTTAGATTACACAAGGCCTCAGCTGAAATGTCTCAGTTTGTAGTGTGTGGGAATTGAAGAACCTTCATTGTGTCATTGTCCAACAGTGATTGATGGCATATGGAGCAGAATTAGTGGTAATGAACAGTGTGATGCTGGGTATATGGGGCATTCTTCTCTTCTCTTCTCTTCTCTTCTCTTCTCTTCTCTTCTCTTCTCTTCTCTTCTCTTCTCCTCTCTTCTCTTCTCTTCTCATCTCATCTCTTCTCTATATAAAATGACATGACTGAAGATATGAGTATGAGTGTGAATGGTTGTTTCTCTCTGTTGGCCCTGTGATAAGTTGGCGCCCTGTCCTCTCGCCCAATGTCAGGCTCCTTAGATAATGGATGGATGGCTGGATCTACTAGAATCATTTGTGGTTTAGAGCTGCTCTTTCAGAAATTTTATCCTACGAGCATCCAAGTGTTTGGACAAACTTGGGTCTTGTTGGAGATATAGAGGAACTTCAATTCATCCCCTCAGGTTACAGCCTTTCCCATCATCATTAACCAATATGCTGACTTTCCTTTTCTCTCTGTTTTCTTTTTAATGTTTTCTTACGCACATTGAAGCCAGTGTGACATCCCTCTCTATTGCCAAGCCAGTTTTTCCTTAAAGTTGAACCTGTGAGCACACACACACATTTACAACCACGTACACTAGACATGCACTGCCCACTTACCCAATGTGTTATCCACTTACTGTAAGTGTATGGTTTGGTGTGTGTATCTGTAAGTGAGACTATTAGGCAGCTGCTGTTAGACACTCTGTGCTGCGCAGTTTGTTATTGTCATGGCTTCCTGCATTTGCCTCCTGAGCGGGAAGCAAAGTGCCCTCTAAGCAGAATCTCTATCCATTTCCATGAGTAAGCAGCTAACCCCGTCACCCCAGGAGAGGACGGCCGACCAAAACACAGAGGCAGGGTCGGCAGAAGCCAGGCAACATGGGTGTAAAGGGTGAGGGGGTGCAGGGGAGCAAGGAAGTGGAAGAGGATTGCTGTCCTGTGAAAGAAAATGTGGAGAGGCCCCTGAAAAATAAATTTGAGCTATTTTTGCAGCACATGTAGTGATTTCTCTGTTGTTGGAACGTAGGAGGTCAGAGTTGAGTTGAAGCTGAAATCGGAGCATCGAGAGGAAGAGGAGTCAGTGCAATGCGATATTTTTGCCATGTGGGACTCTATGCAGGATACACTGTTCCTTTTAAGTCTCCTCTCCCCATGCAGCCCCACTGATACTCCCTGAATGCCAAAACACAAAACACAAAACACAAGGCATTAATAATTCATGTTGAACTCTACTGTACAGAGAGTGTGAGACTGGGAGGGTTTATTGTAGATGAGTGTGTGTTTGTTGCTGGTCTGGTGCAGCAGAGAAAAGCAGCATGACCCTGTGGTTTGTTTGCAGCGCTTGTTTGACAGCAGAGGCCTCATCATGTCGGGGAAAACCCAGAAAAGACGACATTAAGATACTTCAGTTACACAACTTGAGTTACACAACTTGAGTTACACAAGGCACAAACAAGTGCAGAAACAGACAGATTCAGACAATGCAGGCATGCTTGGTAGGAAGACAATCATGGGTTGCGTAGCAGCTAGTGTAGCCAATCATAAACAGCCCTTTACTGTATGCCCCCCCTCCTCTCAGCCAAGTGATCGTGTGACAACAATAGCCTCTCTCACTCTCTGCTGCTAGAAAACAGAGGCCGTGACCTTGCAGTTGAAAGTCAGCAATGCTTCAGCATGATCCTCGGCCACTGGCGCACAATGCTGTTTCTACCAAAAGACACAAACGTATTCATTACACTGCCAGTAATGAGTATTTACATAAGTGATGGATGTCGATCACAATAATTTTGCCCTCTGTACAATCAATAATGAAAAAATTCCCATAATGTTTGATAATGTCATCATTTAGAGAAGGGTATTACAAAATGTAATTATGTTGTGATGATGTACGTGAATATGGACCATGCGTCAGAACAGATCTTTTTTCTCATGGAATCTCTCCAGCCAATCATGCTGGTGGAGACATCTGTAAGCCTGTTTATAAAGATACAATGAGATAATCCTTTTTAAACCCATAATAGGGAAATTTGCAATAAAAACAATGGATTTTTTTTGTATTGTTTTCTTGGATAAGAATTTTAAGCCTGGTACAAAACGTCAACATTTCTCATCGAGCAACTTCGGGTGAAAAATCCCCATCATATCCTCCCAGGGCCCAAGTGTTTAGATGTGTTGTTTTGACCCATCAATTATTAAAAGTCAAATAATATTCAGTGAATTTTCAGAAAAGAGGAAGTGTTTGCATCTGAAACCAGTGAGTTTGAGACACTTTTTCTCAAAGTATCTGGACAATAATTGCAGCCTTGACACAATGTGATAATATTCCCTTGATAGTAAATGGACTATGAGTCAGTGTATAAATCCAGGATGGCTTTGGGACAACAGAAGCGTGTGAGGCTCTGTGTTGTCTGTTCAGCAGACAGACTCGTAGTTACAAAGCTTGCAGTGTTGTAGTGTCACACCGTCCAACAATATGGCTAAACTGGTACAGAGTGAGAGTGGGGGATGGCTATGAGGTATTTGATGAGGAAGAAAAATCGGATTGTTGAAGATCAGACTCTACTGTAGCAAAGCTCACTTCCTACACCAGGGTTAGGATCAGCCTCCTCCATTCACTGCACGAAAACTGAGCTGCTTTTCAAATGAGAGCAGAGGGCAGGTTGCCCAGCGGAGACACCCCAACACTTGGCTGCCGCGCCACCAAAGCTCAGTAGTGTCACACTGATCTAAACATACACAAAGAGCATTTTTCAGAACACAAAGAAAATCTGTGGTTCTAACAAAATGCAGATGTTTTCTCTCTGTTGTGACGGTTTGATTGTTTGCCTGGGAACGCTGGGGCACAGGACGTGTGATGGCGTGATGGCCTTCTGTAGGCAGCCTGGTGTGTGTGTTTATGTGTGTGTGTGTGTGTGTGGCTTTATTCAAAATGGCTGCTGTTTGAAAAGACTGGGGGAGGTCGAGTGACGGGATGCAAATTGTTGATATGGAACAGGCAAAGCTCGGACAAAAGGCCGACTGTTCGAGCCAGTGTTTGCATGGGCACGTATGAATGTGTGTGTCTGTGAGTGTTTACAGCAGCAGTTGTTCTGCGGATGCGATCTAAGAAAGTCTTCTCTGAATAAAATGGGTTATTTAGAGAAAGGTGAGAAGAAGCTTAGGCTCAAACTCAAAACACTCCTGGTCTCATATTCTTCACAAAACCAGGACAGATTTCTCTGGTTTCTGGGTCACACGTTTTTTTTTTCACCCTTTACTTGAAATATTACACAAAGAAAACGTAACAGGTTTTCATGAAACTTGGTTGACTCTCTTCAGCGTTATTTCATTAGGAACATTTAGGGACTGATACCTATGAGTGTGAGAAATTTACCGTGATTCGAAGTGAACTGTTGGGCTTTGGCCGAGGTATACGCTCTACTGGTTGCCATTGTGGTTGATTCTTTGTCTTCTGGTTGAAAGTAACAGAAGGGATTGAATAGAAAGTGTATTTGCTAATCGCTTCAAGTTCTTTTCCTCCTGACTAGCACTGACCCTGGCCCCCTTTCTGAGCCGGCCTCTCCTTGTCTCTCCACAAGTTGAGCACCAGGAGACGTCAAGTCCCAGAGTCTCTGGGAAAGTGGGCAAAAGGCTCCTCAGACAGGTTAATGTGCAACACTTGGCTCACTGTGAAGAAACACCTTGTTTATTTAACTCAAAACTGGTTTAGACAGAGATTTCCTTTTGCCAGCTCTCTGTGCTTTGAGTCACATAAATATGATGCGTGATCAAAGTGTTTTGGGAGGAAAAAAAAGTGTCGCTTTATGTACCAAGGGAAAACATCCAGTCCAGCAAATGAATCTCTTCAGTGTTCACGCACAGAAAATGTGAAATATTCTGTTATTTCCATTAATTATCAACTAGTGCCTGTTCTAAACCTGTCTGTAACCAGGATCCCCACAGTCTGAAGCAAAAGGCTCATTCCAAACAGCTTTTTTTATTTTTTTGAAACTGCACAAAGAGCTGTTCACCGGTTTATTCAAAGTTCAGTGCAGAGTCAGTACGCAGAACCTTGAACCAATAGTTGTGAATGCACTTTTGTCGTGAGTGACGATGACTCCCAGACTCCGCTGCTACAAAGCGTTAATTCAAAGTTTATTAATATTCAATGTATCATGCGTCCAATTCACACCAATATGACACTGTGCTTTCTTGGCCCTTTAACAAAACACATGGCAAGTGTGAAGCCAATAAGATGATCGGCTCTTGAGTCATGTGAGCCACAGGTAGAAGCCGTTTTTAGGCCTGAACTCTGGACAATGTCCACGTAATTGTGTTTGGCCTTTCTCCAGAGTTTGCCTTCCACAAATTAACAACGCATGAAGGAGATTCTCCACTGTGCACAGCACATTAGCCCGTAGCGCTTCGTATCACCAAAAGCTCTCTACATTTTCATCTGTGTTGTGTAAGGGAATCCTTTTTCACCCTGAGATATTCTCACATGCAGCCACTCCAGAGAATTTCAGGGGATTGTCCTGAGTTCATATCTGAAAGCAGCTAGACAGAGATTTCTGGGATTAAAAGATAGTTGGACACATTAAGCATCAAATCTGTTTTTCTTGTAACTTGTCCCAGGTGCTGGAGAGTTTTAAGATCATGGACTACAGTCTGCTGCTGGGTGTGCACGTCCTGGACCATAGTCAGAGAGAGGGCGGCGAGTCGGGCCAGGCGGGGGGCGACGGTAGGCGACCTGTGGGTCAGAGGGTCCTCTACTCCACTGCCATGGAGTCCATCCAGGGAGATGGCAAGGCAGCGGAGGCGCTCACCACAGATGACACGTGAGTGAGCTCAGCTGGGGGAAAGCACACACCCACATTATGAACACATATTTGGGCACACACACACACTGCCTTTGTCTGTCTCTCGATCTCCACCTTTTCTCTCACAGACAGTTATACAACTGTGCTCATACCTCGCACAGGACACTCAAAGAGTAAACACACACACACATAACCATAGCTACACAAATACAAACACAGTCGCTGCTCTGCTTATTGACAGCAATACACATGAATTTAAATACCTTAAGTGCCTCTTTTACAAACACTTTATTTGCACAGAGGTTTATGTGCCGCCCTTCCCCTGACTGCTGCTGTGTTTAATCTGTGTTCCAGGATGGGTGGCATCCCTGCTAAAACACACAAGGAAGAAAAGCTGCTCATCTTCCTGGGTATCATAGATATTCTACAGTCATACAGGTACTTACAGATTCTGTCATTTCACATCTAACCGGGTCTTTCTATAATGAATCTGTTGATTTTTGAGGACATGAACTCATTAACATCTTTCTGTGATCGGTAGAAATGCCCGTCTCAATTTCTGAAAAGCAAAATTTTGCATGAATAACTAATGAAGATGACAATAAAGAGGGATTGCATGACAGCACTTCTTGATTCTCTCTGAGTGACCTCTTTGACTGATGCCTGCCCTCCGACAAGGCCTCTTTGCTTTGAATTATCACCCTGCATTGATTGAAAGAGCTACGAGCCACTTTACCAGACTCCTAAAAGGACTGAGTCCATTTTTTTTTCAATACCCAACATGATTTCAATGGACACAGACATCTTCTTTAGTTACACATTGATTTTTTTGTCCTGAGAGCAAACAGTGATTCAGGAGGAGGAGGAGGAGGAGGAGGAAGTGAAGGAAGACATTTAAAAGCGTGACATAAATCTTGGATCTTTTTGGTTCAAGGCATCAAATTCACACAGAGTAAGTGAGATGAGGTCAGGGAGGAAGGACGAATTGGTTCAATTTGTCTTCACTTATCCAGAAATGTGTCTTTTAGCTAACCTCACCCAGAAACAAACCTCGAGGAGTACAGTTTATCTCTTAATACAACCAAATGAAGAAATGAGAAAGAATCAAAGTCTTGATCAAGCGTTGAAGGGAAGTTGTTGTGTAATTGAACACAAACTTAAAAAAAACTTTCTCTTGCTCCTCCCCAGGTTCATTAAGAAGTTGGAGCACTCATGGAAAGCGCTGGTGTACGACGGTGTAAGTTCCCTCAAATCTGAAACTGCTTTATATGAATGAGCCTTTTGTCTGCACAGGCACTCGCTCACATACTGAGTTTACTGTCTTAATGAAAAAAAAAACATTTTCTCTTCCTGTCCCCTTGCAGGACTCGGTCTCGGTGCACCGGCCCGGCTTTTATGCCAGCCGCTTCCTCAAGTTCATGAGCACGAGGGTCTTCAGGAAGACTCAGCGTAAGTGTGCAGGTCACACACGTGAGGGGACGGGAGCTCACATACACAGAAACAATGGGGAGAGGAAAGGAGGAAATCGTGGCCCGATAGGGAGAGTGGACTTGTTGGCAGATTTTATCACCAGCGTTTCACTGCATTAACCGAAATAACCGCAGGATTGTTTCCTTACATTGTCCTCCCTGCTCCCCCCTGTTATTGTCCTCCATGGTTGGACAAGTATTCGAGCCACATGATCAACTTTGATTCAATTTCAGGATTTAACTGACTTTTATTCTTTAAAATGAAGAACACCATGTTGGTTATGTAATGTGTAAACTATCATGTGGTTGTAAAAATAAAACAGAGACCAGAAACTCACAAACTCACAAACAACAACAAAGACATTTACAGAAGGACACTTATAAAAATGTTAAAGTCAATAAACTCTTTTAGACCATTAGCAAGGACATTGATTCTTCTTCTTTGACGCTTGTCTAATCCTGTATATTCCAGGCATGCGGAGCCGATGGTACACGTGTGACTGATCCCATGATGCTTTGACCACAAAACCCTAAAAATCTGTTCTCAGTGTCGTGCATGTGGCTGTAGGTCAGGAAGCTCTTCACATTAGTTATGTAACCGTGCAGGAGAACTGTGTGGAAATCATCATGACTGAGGCAATGGTTTGTGTCAATAACCGTGTCATGTTCCATCATCTGGAGACAACAGGAACGGATTTCATTTCATGCCCTGCTCGGGAGACAGAACGACCATGTCCCAGGGGACGCTAATCGTCACTGTGTCGTTTTAACAGTTGAACAACTTCTCTGCTAATTCTGAAAGGCAAAGCATCAGAGGATTATTGTGTGTGAACATCACTTCAATCGTCTCTATCCTCTGACTCCTCCAATTATCTTCCCATCTTTCGTTTTCTGCCTCGGTGCCCCCCCCCCCGACTGAATCATCTCCCTCCTGTCTTTTCTTCCCCTGACTCATGTGCATCCTTTTGTGCTCGACAGTGCTTCGATTTTCCCCTTCAAAGAGGACACGCACCTCCATCCCGGCTCTGAAGTCGTCCTCGCAGGAGATCCTTTCATTGCAGGCGGATGAGAGGAAAGAGGGGGACAGGAGGGACCGGATGGGAGGAGCCCGCAGCCTCGCCAGTCTGGACGGACAAGGTAAACAAAACAACAGCTTTCGACAAAGGCCTCACTGTGGCCATGACAACATGGTAGTTCACTTTGACTCTTTCTGTGTACTTTGAAAGACAGCGTATCTTTTGTTTGACAATGTTCAGCTACTGAATAATTAACAAGATTATATTAAAAGTGAAAACATGCCTATAACTGTCTTTACCGATCATATGACCACCAGGTACAGTATGTTACAGCCCGAGGACGGCCATTTTGTGTTTACCCAGGCCTTAATGGCTGAAACATGTTTTTACTGTTGATATGATTCAAAAACCATTAGATACTAAAGGCTTTTTAATTTGTCACCTTCTTGAATGACTCACATTCCTTCAACTTGTCTAAACTCTTTGGATCCTCAAACTGAAGAGCACCAGAGGGACATTACACCCAGCCATCACTCTCAGAGCTTTTTGTTTTTGAACTCCATCATTAAGATTCAACTCAAACTAAATTGTTTTTATCATAAACCCACACTTCCCATTTTTACTCTTATCCTCACCTTCTCTAAACCGCCTCCTAATCTGCTACTTCATCCTCAGCCAGTTGCAGATTTTGTGGCCTTTTAAATCTTTTCACAAACACTTCAGGCCCATAAACAGCCACTTGACCATTTGGCAATAAAATCCTCTCAGCATCGTGCCAGGGGAGCAGCTGTCACAGGCTGATACAGTGCTTGGCCTTAATGGGAAGAACACGGGGGCATCCATTCAGATACAGAATAAATGCTGGTGTGTGTCACAACCACAATCTGAGCCAAGTGAACGGAGGTGTGTGGATCTGGCGTCTGATAAAGAGTGAATGTGTCTGAACTTTGTGTTTCATATGATGAGGGAAGGAGAGTGTAGACCGAACCTGAAGATATCAGGGTGTGGTCCTGTAAAGCAACTTGTTGAACTTTCCAGAGCTCTGCTTGTGGACAGTAAATATGGGTCAAGGAGGACAGATAGGCATTTGTTTTACTCTGGAGTGTGAGGTTTACGCAGGAAATTTATACTGTATTTATCTGAATCTTAAATCAATTAACCTTAATCAAAACCTCATGCCCTGCCTTGTCTCAGCCATTGGGCCTATTCAAACGAGAAGAAGAATTAAAGAATAGCTTTTTATCTTTTGCACTACAGCTGTTATTGATGCAGGTAAGGATATATTGATCATGTTGACTGATTAATGGGGCACTTTAGGTCTTTCTAGGGTCTGGTTAATGTGAACAGATATCACAAACACATTATTATAACATACATGTGACTGTTTCCTCCTCAGCTGTGTTCGGTTCCTACCTGCGGCCCGATCTGGTCCCCGCCAACCCGTCGTTCTACGAGGGCTCCTCCATGGGAACCATCTCCACCTCGTCCATCTTTGTCAACGTGGACCACCAAACAGAGGAGAGGTAGGTTTCCTTATCTCGCTCCTTCCTGTTGCTTTCATTGGGTCACTACACAGAGTTGATTCAGAGGCAGTTTGTTTAGTTTATCACCTCAAAACCACAATGTGCAGCTCCTGTGGTCTTGAGGATAGGTATGTAAATTTGCATTACCAAACACACGCGGCCACACGCCCACGTAATTGTCACCTTACATCATATGGTCCTATCGGGGATGTACGTCATGGAGCAGGTGACTCAGCGGGCTTGGCCACATGCACCTACTACACATTCACATTCACATGCACACTTTTACACAACATATGGACGGATCAGTGAGGAAGGAGTGGTGTGAGAGTTGATTTACATGACAGGAAAGAAGGAAAAATGGTTTTTACTTACAGGTGAAAAATCCTCGGTTAGTTTGACTTCATTTCATTAACCACAATTTCTGACAGCTTCATTTATTTGCTTGATTGTTTGACATTTAACCTGTTTTTTAAATTGCTTTTGTCATTCTGCTATAAAAAGTCTATAATAACAGTATATTATTATTTATTTAGCATTTAGACATACTTTATTATGTTTCTATTGTATTGAGACAACTTTTACAAGTTACTACTTAATTCTAAGTTTTGGAACACCCATAATCCACTTTTTACCCGCTCCTCTACAGTACATTAGAGGACAGTTTCTGATTGGACACCTCCGGACACTTTGTCCTCTGCCCTCTCCCAGTTTCCCATCTTCCACCTCTCCTCCTGTCTCAGTGTCAGGTTCTGCCCGCTCTCTGAGGCTCCATTGTGCGACTTGTCCGGTCTTGTCCCCTCCGTCAGTCAGTCACCTGCTGCTGCCCTGACATTGTTCTGTCGGCTGTTTGCATAAATATTTAAACAGCGGCTTTGACACGGGTCTCACTCGGGGCCATTATGCTGCAGAAAGACGGTGACAAAAAGAGGACAAGTGGTGCAACGGGACACTGTGGATCCACTGAGACAATAATCACTGTCAGAAAGCTGCTGCGTTACAGTAGTAACACATCCCTGTTGTGATGTTTGAGGCTACAGGATTGCTCTATAATAGAGCTACTGTTCACATCAATCCATCCATTCATCCATTATCTATACTGCTTATCCTTTGAGGGTTGTGGGTTGACCACGGCCAATCCAGGATTCAAACCAGGAACCTTCTTGCTATGAATTACAGTAGTAACACATCCCTGTTGTAGGATTGCTCTAAAACAAAGCAGCTGTTCATGTGTCCCATCAGATCTACTTCTACAGGTGTACGTCTCTGTTATTCTCTCTCAGTTGACTTGGGTCAGTCACATGTCACAGAAGAGTGAAAACACATCCCTGAATGTATCAGGGAGTCTGCTGATGTACATACAAGGCAAACTGCACTGCCCCCTGGTGGGGGCATCAAAACAGTGTCCAGGATGTGACCGACACCACATGCTTCCACCTAGTTTCATTATCAATAGTTTCTGCATAATCCTGCTCCATAAGGAAGAAACAACAAACATGAAAATGTAACACACTTGGCAGATGTAATAAATTAATTTTAAGTGCATGCACTCAAAATACACACTAATGACCAAAGTACTCATGTAATATACTGTAGTACTAATGACCAATGGCTGCACGGGGGATAAAAGCGTGTTTACAGTTGGTTGCTTGCAGGAGCAGCTGTCGCCTCTGAAACATCCTCAGCATTTAAAACCTATTTCTCAATTAATATTTTTTCCCCAAAACTTTGGACGATGAGTTTGTGACGTGTGTTTTTATTCGAGCTAAAATATAGAATGTGTGTTTTTTCCTTGAATAATTCACTTCCATCTGTAAAGCTATAGTAATCATTGTTGTATATGATCTCAGCTGGTTCTGACTCTCGAGGACATTTTGTTTGTTTCATGTGAAACATTTCAGAGATGATGAAACTGTGAGCCTGTGAGCGGAGGCCTCCGCTGGGCCTGAAGCCAGACCACAGGTCTCACTTCCTGTCAGCTCGTCTCTTTGCTTCTTTGATGTCAGAATCTCAGCAATAGTGTGTGTGATTTGTGGCGTCTCTGACAAAAGTTAATATGAAAATATCACTTCTTGTTTCAGAGAGGACGTCGCGTCCAGCTCCACGTTCACCCTGGAGGACAGTGCCATCTGCCTGATGTCAGAGCAGAGCACCATGGATGTGGACATGGACCGTGATGACGGATCTGTGCTGGACGTCTATTTGGTGAGTTTCCTGTTATTTTAGGTCACTGTCACATTGTAGTTGTTCGCGGAGATTACATTTCAAAGTATGATTCCCCAAAGTTTGGCATCGAAGAGAAGATTAAATGTAACTCTGAGAGGTGAATATTGGCCAATGATATCGGCTAAGCGATAAATTGGTTGGGCTCTAGAGAGAACTGTACATGTGCTGGAGGTAAATTAGCAGATTTCCACTCTCTTAACAATAATCCTCTGACTGAACATAGGGAGGTTTCTTAGAGGAGATGGATCCCTGACGACACATAGACTGGATGTGTAGGAAATATCTTAGCATATGATCTGTTTTATATTTCATGAACAGCAAAGTCTGTACATTACAAGTGAATAGATGCACCATCATACTCCTTCTCCAGCAAGTCGGTCTCTGTTTTATGCAGTCTTGTTGGTGTCCATTACGCTACATTAATTATCTTGACCTGTTCTATGCTCTTTTGAGTAATTGCTTAACTGCACGTTTGTTTCAGATTAACAAAATATGCTGATACTATTTTCTCTCTCCCTGCAGTGAACAGAGCCGCGTCACGGCCGTCATTTCCTCCTGCCAATCATAAGACAATCGCCACACTCCATTGGAAAGGCTGTGCTGGCCTTTAACTCCACCTCCAGTGCTGCTACATCTATGTTGCCACTTGTTTTGCCAAAACATAAGACAGAGACTCCCCGGGACATCTGCAGGAACCATGTGACATGTTGCCCTAACGATGACAACCATCACACTGAACTGAGAGTTACATTTTTAGAGCACGTGTCAATGCAGTGCCATTAAGTTTTATATACGTATCCTGTTTTCATGGCATTCATGAATTTTACTGTACACACACACACACACACACACACAGACACACACAGACACACACACACACACACACACACACACAAGGAGACCAGATACAAATCATACATTTCTTTAAATTGTTTTTTTTTCTGCTGACCTGAGGAAATTTTAGACACTTTTAAAACCTGCAGCTGCACCAGCTGCTGATCAGATGAGGAATGTTTACACCCGTGATGGCACATTTGACCCTGATGGGACGTAACTGTGCCACACAGAGGACACACGCCAGCTCTTAGCCGCAGCCAACACTGAGGACGAGAAAAAACTCACATGAACAGACTGGATCGAGAATCTACTGAGGCCGAACACAGACTGAGCTGTGTCGGAAGCAGCCACGGTCTCCTGACCAGACATAAGGACACGTGCTGCTCTGACATGAACCTGCAGGCCGGAGCGCTGCTGTAAACTGACGGGAGGAAAACACAGTTACTGGCTGTCGGATGAAGCACAGAGCGGATGGACAATGTACTTGCTCTCATAAAAAGGCACTTTTGACATTGGTTATGATTACTGTAAGAAATACTTCTCTCTGAGGACATTTCTTAGGTGGCATAAGCACAGATTTGGATGTGTGAACATGCACTTTTTTCTCCCCCTCGTTCTACTCTACCAATGCACACCTCTGTCAGCCCTCCACACTACATGTACAGAGACTATGAAGGAACAATGTGGATTATTTTTGATGCAGAGCTCCTAGTTTTGTCAGGACCGAAGATGCTTTTACTCAGGATCTCCTCCTTTGATACTGATCGAGTCACGAGACAAACAGATCCCACACATAGAAGCCGTCTGATACCTCTTCATCAACATCAAATCCAACTGTACATGTTGAATTCCACAATCACGTCATCACTTGAGACCATAATTTATGTAAATCTCACTATTTTACCGTTTGCTGAAAGAAAACTTTCATCGCTGAATGTAAAGACAATGCATATTTATATAGAGAGGACTATAAATAAACAGGTAAAAATCAGTGTCTACTTCTGTTAAGGCTCCTGAAGCAGTACTTTGCATACCACTGTACATGTTTATCATTCATCCATTTAATTTGTCAATTTTGCCACTCAGTTTCACAGCAGTGCGACTATAGCGACACACATTTACTTTAATTCTTTTGTGAAACAATTTTAATTTACAGAACATTGTCAAATTGCATTACATTTAGTGCAAATAATAACACTTCTGATGTACAACTTAGAAATTTACAAGTATAAAGTGTAGATTACTGAGAAAATATCAAAATTAAAAATGCTTAATGCATTCTTCAGCTGACGTCGCTCGTAGATCTAGCTCTTGTAATCATCAGCAAATCAATGATCCTGATCCTTCGTGACCTCTGACCCCTTTAGTTCATTTTTTTTAAGCATGTGGATCTACCTATTGCAAAACTCCCAATGTACGACGACGGCATGACACATAAATCTAGAGCAAACTGAAATCTTGAGGTAAGATGATGTGAAATGCTGACCCTCCCTCCCCCCGCTTCACTTCAAGGTTGATAAATGCACATCTGGTGGCGGCTGTACAGTAGAGAACGCCAGGAGTTCGCATCCCGGGGTCTAAGGCATTCTTAGGGGTAGTTTATCAGTCAAAAGGGTGGGAGGCCACTGCACTGTAGTGTGGATTGTGAAATGTTTTGTTCAGAGTATGACTGAGAATGTAGGGAGGAGATGACATCCTGCTCAGCAATTTTACAACTCTACCTTCACCTGCAGAAAAGCAGCAGGATGAAATTTACAAATGTCACTTGGTTTTTTTTTCCTGCTTCGTTGGGGGCTGAAATTTAGTTTAAAAAAAAAAATGTCAGTGTGCGAAATGTCTCAACTCAGTGAAAGATGGGATTTTTATATAAACCACTATGCTGCTCATTTGGAAATATCTGTCAATTTTATCAATATAGCTGAAATATCTGTGTGTGTAACAAGGCGGTTTAAGACGGACACACACTGACACTCGACCACAACTTATTACCTGCAGACCACAGTCAACTACATCCTAATAACCCAATTATTCATGATCAGTTCAAATATGGCAAAAATATTGTTCAAGGTGAGTTCATTAGGAAAATGCTCTTCATCTCCCACTTCCTTGGACCATCACAGTCATAAATTTCAAGCACGTAACAATCAATTCACATTTCTCACATTGGTAAACTAATTGAAAACGTATGTCCGTTTTCTCTGTACAATACATCGTGTCCGTGGTGCACAGCGAAAAGCTACGTTATAAACAATCTATAAATATAAAGATTTCAAAGCTTTAGGCTCTGACCCTCCATCAAACTGCAGAAGAGAGAGAGTTGTCACTAGAGGGACAAAAGAAGGCAAGAGAAGAGGAAACACTGTACCACACCTCATCCTGTCAATATCTACGCTCCTCCCTCATGGTATTTACCTTAGCAACAGCAAAATAAGCAGCTGTAATACTAGTGATTTGAGCAAAAACCAAATAAGTCATGAAGTATGTAATCATAAGAAATGTACAAAACAATTTACAAAAGAAAATCTGTAATAACAATTCAAAAAACCACTTTGCAAACTCTTGAATTTACATACAAATGTACCCATGACCAGTAGATGGTGTTACGCCAATAGAATGTGGCTGGGATTAGAACTACTGATGGATTAAAGCTGTAAAACCAGTCTCATCTACAAGCAGGTGTCTGTGGATGATAAGAGGTCCTGCAGGTAGAAATCTGCAAACAGCTGAATGGGTCATCCAGGGCCTGTTTGCTGGACAACACAGTCTCTCCAGTGGAAACCTCACAAGCCTGAACAAGAGAAAAGATCAAGTCACCACCACAAGAGAACAGAAACTGAAACTAGAATGGCTCTCAGAAGAGATTGCACACACTCAAGTCATCAAGATCCATGAATTATTCTCTGAGAAATCAACAAATATGTTAAAACACCTTATATTACAGAAAGGAAATGTGGAAAAATGTTGAAAAAGCAATGTTAAAGAAAGTGTAAACATTCCTGGATCTGCCCCCTGACCTACGCCAACATTGAATAGCTTTTTTTCTTCAGTCAGGCCCCACCCCACCCAAAGAAATGTATGAATATCAGTAAAGTAGTTTTGGTTTAATCCTTGCTAACAAACAAACAAACAAACAAACAAACTCAGAGAAAAACAAAACCTCACTGGTAGAGGCAATAATACCAGCTTCTGTACACCTGTCCTTTTCCCAGTTCAAAATTAAACATCAAGCATCAGCCAGGAGATTTAATGACAGCGTAATCAAAGTACGTTGCTTTTTCATTTCTGAAGCTGGATGTGTTCGAGCTCTTGGTTACCTTGTAGTGCTCAGAAGAGGATCGGCTTCCCTGCAGTTTTCTCTTGGACGTAGGAGGTGAATCGTTTGAGGAACTTGGGATATTCTCTCTTGGCCACAGCTCTGAGAACTGAGGCTGGAGCCCAGCCTCCTGGGTTTACTGTAGAGAGGGGAGATTATCAGAAACTCTGTGAGTGTGTGCTGACTGATGATAAGAGGAGGAGTCATTAACCCATGTTGAACAGCTCAGACTGTGGACCAGGGTGCCCTCTAGTGACTATTCTTTCAAATGAAGTCCCACCACTGCCTGGCCTCTATAACAATAAACGGCTCAGGATTCTGTCTGTGGTGCTGGAGTATGTCATGTCTACAGGAAGTGAGGGACTGTCTAGAGGACGCTAACAACAAGAAATATGAGGTTGATCTACACTATTTGGGGAAAGGTTTATTTTTCAAGTTGAATTTGTTTACACTGATGCGACAGTTAAGCTCTTGAGGACTTCACTACTTGATCTGATTATTAATAACAAACAGCAGATTCTCTTTACCAATTTGATATTTCAAATAGTATTACGTTAAAATTTAATTAATCCCTCCTCTGCAGAACATTTATGGAGGTTACTTTCAATTGGTTTTACTTATATTAGTATGTTCTCTCTATAGATGAGTAAATAAAGTTTGACCTGAATTGATATGAGATTTGGGCTCAGCTGAACATTTCCTCCTGGCATTTATCAAAGGTCGTGTGGTGATATTACGGTGATAGAGAGGCTTTGCTTTCTGAGCTGCATAACTTTCCTTGGATAAAAAATGAGGCACATACCATTGGCAACGTAGGTGATCTTACAAAGGATGTTGTCTCTGCTGATTTCTTTATCTCCCTCTGGCGGGCTGACCAGTGTTTGGCAAATCATGGCCACATTGATCTTGGCACGAACACACCTGTTCGTGGGCTGAGAGCAAAATAAGGAATGGAAATGTAAACATTACCTTAGCTGCCACATATCTCACTGTAGTAGATTTGACAGAGTGACTGTGGTGAAGAAAATCATTCTTTCTTCCATTTACGCTGAAAGAGTCTTAAGCTCCTTTTAGAAAATCTTCTGAAGTCCGAACAATTCTTTGAAATTTCAAAAACATGATGTTCGTGTAAAGGCAAATTTCTGAGTTGGTTTTTTTCCAAACACTTTCAAGAACCTTTACTGCCAGGCCAGGAAATATCTGAGAAGCTGGAAGAATACAGTCTCAGGATGAAAAAGAGGGGCTATACACGTAGAAGACACAGACAATGTTAACTTGAAAAGACGAGGTTCAAAAGCTTTTGGAGGTTAGGGGCCGACACGGAAATTCTCAATCAAGATGCAGTGAAAGGCAAACTCTGGAAAACTTCCAAACCCAAATTGCTGGGCTTTTGTTCTGCTTTTGACTGAGGGATATTTGCAGTTATGCATCTTCAAACTTATAACAAATGGATCACAGTGCTTATATAGGTATGAAATTAGGAATAGTAGTAAGTTTACAGAGATGTTTTTCAAAAACTAGGTGTAATGCAGTCAGTCATCTTACAAGAGCCTTGTTGTGGTCCACAGAGAAGTTGCAAACCAGCCATGTGTCTGGATCATTTTCGTTTGTTGCCATGATCTTCCTGATGGCTGACAGGTAGAGCACATCTCTCTGAGAGGCCGGCCACACTCTCTGAAAAACAAGCATCAGAAAGGCTTTCAGAATATTACCGATCAGTTGTGCAACACGGTTTAAAAACGCCAACCAACCAACATGAAGAATATTTACCTTGTGCGTCTGGTAAACTATGACAGCATTATCAGACAGCGTTTCCACAACGTTGAAATTTTCAATGGTAGCTGAGGGAGGAACAGGTCAGTCAGGTCACATCATTTAAACAGAATGTGCTGATATGATGGTCAAGTCTGAAATAGTGAACGTACTCTCCCAGTCCATTCGGACATCTGTTTCCCAGAAGTAGTGGCAGACCTCATGTCCTGTCACCCCCTTCACAGAATGTGTAGCTTTTAGAGGATCCAGGACGATACCGTTCTCCTCCACCTCTCTCCTGTACACCTGTTCCACACAGAGCAGGAGACAGAACAAATCAGTACTACAAACAGGTTTGCCAAGTGCTTCACAAACAGGAAACAAAACACAAAACAAAGGGTGCAATTACAAATTTAAAGAGACAATAGATAACACATGAATAGAGCTTTAAAGGCCACTGAGGTAGCTTGTCTGATTGAGGTTATTTGACAGTCAGTGAAGGTTCTCTGTCTCAAATCTTGCCCTGGCTACAGAGAGTAATAACTTTTTAGAAGATCTTAGTGTAGGAGCGGGGTGAACAAGGGACTGACTTCTGGTGGAGCCCAGTGACCTAGATGGCTGGAGAGTTTCTGCATTAATAAACAGAGGCTCCTTTGCATTTCCAGTAGTGGAGTTTGCGTCTGTTTTTTGTTACTTTCTTAATAATTTTCCCTGCTCCTGATCTGTTGGTGCTTCAACTGCAACCTCAGTGCCTGAGCTTGAAATATTCAAAAAGGGAAATGATTCATGATTTGCTTCTCTATACTCACCTTCATCTCTCCCTCTTCTATTACCAACTGCCAGTTGGCATCTCCACCCATATCCTGAAGAGAGTAAGTCATATGATTCTGCACCATCTCCTCCACCTAAGAGATGGACAGATATTGATTTAAAACACGTTAGAGACTCTTTTGCTATTCTGTCTATTGGAGGACATGCTTTTAAACTGGTTTTGATGGGGCACAAGGGGGCAAACAAAAAATTATATTTCCTTTTCAGAATTTTAGGAATTGCTTGAGAAAGGAAGCCACTGGGCAATACACAAATAAATATTTAATACACAATCCTGCCTAAGGTATGTTATTCAACATCCCAATGATGCATTACAAACACAGTGCATAACCAGTCTGGATTCATGCCTGCACATGCTGTGGAAGTCGGAGTAATGCGAGATAAGAACAAGACGGAAATGAAATGGTTCAATAGATTCCAGCCATGCAACATTAGACTTCTATCAGTGAGATGATGACAACCATTATGTAATGAAGACAAACCATTAAGTCTCTCCGGGAATTTTGACTTTGTCCAGTTTGGTTTTTAGTGCATTACACCATACTATACTACTATAGACATGGGTGTTAAAAGCTACTATAAACACAGGACTCAAAGCATATGAATTGTCTGAGATCCTGGAGAGACTGGTTAGTAGACATTCTCATGCATTCTCCGACTGCAGTGAAAAAGCAGTAGGCATTTTTTGCATTACCCTGCAGACAGATGATCTCTCTGTTGACCAAATACAGTACC